TTCTTCTCCGATTCTCATGGCGAGTCGATTCTTCTCCGATTCTCATGGCGAGGCTATGCGATCTACACCACGCCCTATGGGCAGGAAGACGGAGAAGGAGACGTTTGGCAGATGTCATCCCGCTCTTTTGCAATCTTGTGGGGTTCATTCCCTCACATAAAAACCCGGAAACTGGCAGGACATGACGAACAATCGCAGTTTGTTGAGTCTTCTTTTGGGGCACAGCAATTATTCTTGGTCAAAGGGAGGCCCGTGAGCCCAATCAGATTTGAAGAGCCTCTCAGCCTATCTTCTGGCTGTGGCTTAAAGAGGCCCGGGAACAAAGAATGAAACGGGTTTACAACTAGTGTGTTTTGTGAGCGAAATGCGTTCCGACAGACAAACAGGGATTGTTTGTTGGAAACCAGCGCCTTTTTTTGAAATCGCCTTCGTGGAGGCTACGCGAGGCCGTTTTTGCTGAAAGGTAGGCTACGCGCTGGCTACGCGGTAAGGGGAACTCCGCAAGAGGGTACGCGAGGTCGCATTTGCTGCAGAGGTAGGCTACCGCGGTGCTTACGTGTAGTAGTTCCCCTACGCGAAGGCCACGCAAAGCTATAAAACTGCAAACGTAGGCTTTGCAGTGGCTCTGCGGAATTTTTGGACCTAAGTTTCAAGCTATCGAGCCATCGATTTCACAAGAGAGGAGTCTGGCATTTGACCATATGAGTCCATTGTGACCCCCCGCCCCCCAAAAAACGAGTCTCTTCATGTTCCCCGTTTTCGGGGGCGTCTCTTTACGATGCGCTGAGCTCCAGGCGCTGAGCTGAGCTTGGTTTCAGGGGGTGCCTCGTGCCGCGCTGAGGAATTGGTGGTGGCCTCCGCCGTGCTGGCGTGGCCGGGGAATTTGTGCAATCACCGGGAGACGCCTTGACGGATGGGAGGAGTCGTCCAACTGACCTGACAGATCGGGACAGTTGGACATCATGTAGACTCTTGATTAATATCCCCCTCCATTTGAATTGAAACGCCTCTTCATATGGGGCCGGGGGGGTTAGTAATCAAGAGTCTACATTATGAAAGGATAGATGAAAGCTGTGTTTTCTTTTTTTTCCCGAATGCGTAGCGAAGGGTTCCCGTTTATAGTTGGGGGTCTGGGGGTTGGAGCTGTGTTCGCGTGGCTTGCGTCGTCTCGTCGTCTGTCGTCGTCTCTCGTCGTCTGTCGTCGTCTCTCGTCGTCGTCGCGTCTCAAATTTGCTGCCATTGGGGGAAGCTTTTGCATGTGCATGAAACCAACATGTCGCGCAAGAAACGTGATGCATTTCGCTGCACAGGCGCAGCGTTTTGTGAGATCCGCAGATTGCTGCGCAGTTCCATTGGGATTAGCGTTTGGAGGGTCATGTTTTTGGGGTGTTGGATGTGGCCGTGCCATTGGGATTTGCGTTTCAGTTTGTGGCATCGAAGCTCGGCTTTCGTGACAAGTCTCAGCTGAAATGCCGATTTTGGTGGATGGGAGTGTGCTCAGAACGGGTCGAAATCATTCCAAACGTGTGGGGTGGTGCAAATTTTGTTGAAGCTCACGCGCGATGATATTGTCACTTTTCGTGGCAGGCGCAGGACTTTGTGCGGGCTTTGAGGCGTGGAAGTGCGATTCTCGTGGCAGGCGCAGGGAATCGTGAGGTTGTGAGTTGTGGTGGAGGTGAATGTCGCTGTCACATTGGGATTGGCGTGTGAGCGGATGTTGTTTGGAGGGGCTGGAATCGCGAAACTGCTTGGCAGGGCTGCGTGATGTGTGTGCTCCGATGGGTGTTTCCGCTCGACTTTTGGAGGAAGTCTCGTGCGAAACGCTCGTTTTGCAGACTTTGGCGTGTGAGTTTTTGAGGAAGTCTCGCACGAAACGCTCGTTTTGGAGACTTGACGCGCAACCCTCTGCGGAGATCGTGCGTGTCGAGTGTGCGAAATACAGGCGAGAGTGCGATTTGTCCCATGCGCGCGCAACCCTCTGCGGAGATCGCGCGTGTCGAGTGCGCGAAATGCAGGCGAGAGTGCGATTTGTCCGGTGCCCGCACAACCCTCTGCGGAGATCGTGCGTGTCGAGCACGCAAAATGCAGGCGAGCAGTGGCGACTTTGTAGTACAACTTTAGTACGCGGGGTATCTGGGGAGCTGGAAGATGAGAACTGGTGACTTGGTAGTACAACTTTAGTACGCGGAGCAATCTGTGGAGCTGGAAGCTGAGAACTGGCGACTTTGTAGTACAACTTCAGTACGCGGAGCAATCTGTGGAGCTGGAAGCTGAGAACTGGCGACTTTGTAGTACAACTTGAGTACGCGGAGCAATCTGTGGAGCTGGAAGCTGAGAACTGGCGACCTTGTAGTACAACTGTAGTACGCGGAGTATCTGGGGAGCTGGAAGCTGAGAACTGGCGACCTTGTAGTACACCTTTAGTACGCGGAGTATCTGGGGAGCTGGAAGAGAGCCCCACAAGAGTGTCCCGCAACAGTGTCCCACTAGAGTGTCTCACAAGAGTGTCCCTTAAGAGTGTCCTACAGGAGTATCCCACAAGAGTGTCCTACAAGACTGTCCCACAAGAGTATCCTACAAGAGTGTCCCACAGAGTGTCCCACAAGAGTGTCCCACAAGAGTTTCCTACAAGAGTGACCCACAAGAGTGTCCTACAAGAGTGTCCTACAAGAGTGTCCCACAAGAGTGTCCCACAAGAGTGTCTCGCAAGAGTGTCCCACAAGAGTGTCCTACAAGAGTGTCCCACAAGAGTGTCCCACAGAGTGTCCCACAAGAGTGTTCCACAAGAGTGTCCTATAAGAGTGTCCCACAAGAGTGTCCCACAAGAGTGTTTCACAGGAGTTTCCTACAAGAGTGCCCCACAAGAGTATCCTACAAGAGTGTCCTACAAGAGTGTCCCAGAAGAGTGTCCCACAAGAGTGTCCTACAAGAGTGTCCTACAAGAGTGCCCCACAAGAGTGACCCACAAGAGTGTCCTACAAGAGTGTCCTACAAGAGTGTCCCACAAGAGTGTCCTACAAGAGTGTCCCACAAGAGTGTCCTACAAGACTGTCCCACAACAGTGTCCCACTAGAGTGTCTCACAAGAGTGTCCCTTAGGAGTGTCCTACAAGAGTGACCCACAAGAGTGTCCTACAAGAGTGTCCTACAAGAGTGTCCTACAAGAGTGTCCCACAAGAGTGTCCCACAAGAGTGTCTCACAAGAGTGTCCCACAAGAGTGTCCTACAAGAGTGTCTCACAAGAGTGTCCCAGAAGAGTGTTCCACAAGAGTGTCCTCTAAGAGTGTCCAACAAGAGTGTCCCACAAGGGTGTCCTACAAGAGTGTCCCACAAGAGTGTCCCACAGAGTGTCCCACAAGAGTGTCCTACAAGAGTGCCCCCAGGAGTTTCCTACAAGAGTGACCCACAAGAGTATCCTACAAGAGTGTCCTACAAGAGTGTCCCAGAAGAGTGTCCCACAAGAGTGTCCTACAAGACTGTCCCACAACAGTGTCCCACTAGAGTGTCTCACAAGAGTGTCCCTTAAGAGTGTCCTACAAGAGTGACCCACAAGAGTGTCCTACAAGAGTGTCCTACAAGAGTGTCCCACAAG